ATTTCAAATAACCTAATTCATTTTCAATTTCATTTTCTCTCACTACTCACTCACTCACTCTCTCTCTCTCTCTCTCTCTCTCCCCTCTCTCTTTCTGTCCGAAATCGAAGATCGTTGGAAAGAAGGTCGCCGTCGGCAACTTCCACCACCAGATCTAACAAACCCCGGTGCCTCTGCGTGCAGATCTATGGTTTCGCCGATACACAGATCGCGACGATTCATGATCGCTTCTTCTCTGCTCACTACGATGAAGGCGACGGCGAGGGGTGTGAGCGCGCTTCTTCCCTGCTCAGTTTTTGTAGACCGACGCTGCTGTGAACGGCAGCGTCGCGACGATGTGGCGAGATCGACTCCAGTCAGGTGCGGTATGGTGTGGTGTGGTGGTGAATCTAGGTAGCGGCGACAGGGGTGGAGGTTGTGGCGGTGGCAGTGGCGGGTTCGGGGTTTTTTTGTTAGGTTGTGATTGTGGTGTGGTGTGGTGAAAGTCAAGGGAGAAGCCCCTGCATGGATGAATCATCCACCATGTAAGAAAGCGTGGGTGCCTCGGAGAAGAGTTAGATCCGAAAAAGGACCATCTCCTAATCTTTGACGTATACATTACATGCCTCTCATGTGGAAGTTGAACATATTAGGAAAAGCTTTTGTATGGATGAATCATCCACCATGCAGGAAAGAGTGGGCGCCTCGAGGAAGAGTTAGATCCCAAAGTGGGAAAAACTCTTAATTCTCTGAAGATTACATCACATGCCTCACGATAGGAAACTGAACGTCATGGGATAAGTTCCTGCATGGATGAACCATCCACCATGCAGGAAAGTGTGGGCCTCGGGGAAGAGTATGATCTCACATGGGAATAACTCCTAAATTTTCGAGTCGTACATTACATGCCTTCCATGACGAAGCCGAACGGCAGGGTGATGCCCTTATATAGATTAATCATTCATCATGTAGGGAAGCGTGAGTGCCTAGGAGAAGTTTTGGATTACAAAGGGACCACCTCATAATTCTTCGAGGAGTGAATCACATGCCTCTCAAGAGGAAGCTGAACGTCGTGGAGAAACCTCTACATGGATGAACTATCCACCATGTAGGGAAGCGTGGACACATCCAGGAAGAGTTGGATCCCAAAGGGACTAACTCCTAGTTCTCCATGATGTACACACATGCCTCTCATGGCGAAGTTGAACGTAAAGAGAGAAGCCCATGCATGGATGAATCATCCACCATGTAGGGAAGCATGGACACCTTAGAGAAGAGTTGGATCCAAAAGGGGACCATTTATTAATTTTTCGAGGCGTACATTACATGCCTCTCAAGTGGAAGTTGAACGTTATGGGAGAAGCGAGTATGGAAGAACCATCTACCATGTAGGAAAGCACGTACGCCTCAGGGGAGAGTTGGATCCCAAAGTGGACAAACTCCTAATTCTCCGAAGCGCACATCACATGCCTCCCATGAAGAAACTGCCCTTGCATGGATGAACCATCTATCATGTAGGGAAGCGTAGATGCCTTGGAGAAGAGCTAGATCCCAAAATAGACCACATTTTAATTCTCTGGGGTGTACATCACATGCCCATAAGAGGAATCTGAACGTCGTGGGAGAAGCTCTGCGTGGATGAATCATCAGCCATGCAGGAAAGCGTAGGTCGCACGGGGAAGAGTTGGATCCCAAATGAGAGCAACTCTTAATTCTCTAAGGCGTACATCACATGCCTCCCATGATGCAGATGGACTTTAAGAGAGAATTCCCTACTTAGATGAATCATTCACCATCTAAGGAAGCATAGACGCCTCAGATAAGAGTTGGATCCCAAAGGGGACCACTTCCTAATTCTCTGAGGCATACGTCACATGTCTTACAAGTGGAAGCTGAACGTCATGAAAGAAGTCCATGTATGGATGAACCATCCATCGTGCAGGAAAGTGTGGGCACCTCGGGGAAAATTTGATCCCAAATGGGACTAACTCTTTTTTCATTGAGGCGTACTTTACATGACTCCCATAACGAAGCTGAATGTCAAGGTAGAAGCCCCTAAATGAATGAATCATCCACCATGCGAGAAAGTGTAGGAGCCTCGGAGAAGAGTTGGATCCTAGTGGGGACCACTTCCTAATTCTTCGAGGCATACATCATATACCTAACAAGAGAAAGTTGAACGTTATGAGAGGAGCCCCTGCATAGATGAATCATATACCATGTTGGAAAGGGTAGACACCTCAGGGAAGAGTTATATCCCAAATGGGACTAACTCATAATTCTCAAAGTGTACATCACACGTCTCTTATGATGAAACTGAACAACATGTGTGAAGCCCCTACATGCTAAAACTAAATGCCACATCGACTAACAGCCCGTCCAAGCGTGTTGGAATTAGCTTGCATGTGCTCGAGTGGGCCATGTATCTATTGTCCACATGTGTGTGAAAAAAACGAGGTGAACAATAACTCAAGAAAAACAATAGTAGGATTCTATAGTGGTTGCATTGCTAGGAATTTCAAATGGATACACTACATTAATTGCACGTCCAAACAGACTACCAAAGCATGACTTGGGCCATGAATGAGTGAATCTTCACGTTGATAAGGGTGAAAAAGTTGGGATAGTACGTGCTTCCTTTAACGATTCTAAGTTTGAGAAGCAAGAATCCCCATTTGACATGTCTTTTACTTCCTGTAAAAGAGCTTTTGAATGAAATTGTCTTAATTTTTGTTTAAAAAGGAAATTTAAAAAATACTTCACATTCTAGAAGTGCATTTGGAGGAAATCATATCGAACCAACTTCTAAAAGCTCTACTAACTAAAAAAACACTTTTATAAAATTAGCCAAACGGGTCCAAATACTACTTTTAGATCTCAAAAGCTCATTTTTGACTTTTTAAAAGCCATACCAAACGGGCCATATGTATGATTGTGAAGTGAATGGATCAGGAGAATTCTACAATGGAGAAATCATTACAAGACAAACCTCAATGATGACATTTGAAAACATGAATATCTAGATGCACATTCTTGTTGATGTTAAGGACACTTCCTCCTATGTGTCAAAATCTCGCCAGTAATATAAAATGATGTAAAAAATCAATGGCTATAATGAATGTCATGTCAAAAAATGTCAAACTTAATGTAAAAATTGATGTACATGTATCATGTTTCAAAAAAATTGTATTAATGTAGTGGTTTGTCAAGAGACATACATAATCCATTTGCTGTGCCCAAAATATGCTAAGCACAGTTAAAGAACCCGAAGAAGGATTGATACCGTGTCAACTATGGAAGTAACGTACTTCACCGAAAGGTGACAACGGGAAAAAGTAGGTTACCAATCCACTTCTTGTTGGGGATAAAAATCAAACTTGTAACATATGCCTTCGTCAAATAAACATACTTGAAAAGAGAAAACTCTTCGGATAAAAAGATGCATTCTAGCAAACTAGTGGAATCCATACGTGATAAGCTATTCAATAAAAAACAATAATGGATCAATAACCAGTAAGGGTGGGCAATGGGGCTGGTCGGGTAGGGTTTGGTCCAAAACCGACCCGATCCGACATACCCGGTTTTGGGCTCTTTTACAACTAGACCCGACCCGGCCCGAATCGGTTTGGGTCGGGTTTTTTTTTTTCCCTAAAGATTTCCCAATCCATTCACTAGCAAAGAAAACACACAGATCTGCTACTGATAATTTTAATTATTCAAGCGTAGAAAGATCGAAAGCAAGTAATATTTATTTAAGCATTATTTTTAGTTTATTCATCTTCATCCTATAGACCTAAAAACTAAATGGTTTAATAATGCATACGCCACTAAAACCAGAACAAAGATTTACAAGAATCTTAGCTTACTTGCACATAACAGAACGCTAATTTTACTTCCACAAGAACAGATTTCAAACATCTGTTTTATTCATACTATGTACTGATTTAATGAATGGTCACTTCCAAGAAAATTTAATTACATATAGTTACAGATGTGAAAAAGAACTTGCTTTGCCTCCTTAAAGCTCTTACCAGAAAAATTGGTGGAGATACATTCACACACAAAATTGGAAGTCATCCATCCAAATGTCAGATTTCACTTTGCTTTACTTTGCTGTAGATGGTTTTCTCGGAATGCCTTTTTTTGGCAAAATATAGCTGAATGAATAAACCTTAATTCAACCAAAACTCTTGCCAAAATACGAAATTTCTATAGCACCGAAACACCTTTTTCTCGAATTTTTCTTCACAACTATCAACTCCAAGTTGCGATAGGCCATTTGGTGCAATCGAAAACCAAACTGACTAAATTTTCAACAGCTAATCTCTTAATTTTCAGGTGGGTTACGGTAATTACCACCTGGACTTACCATAGAGAGCGAGAGGATGTTCTTGGAGTCGGATCTGGGCGAGGAGAAGATGGAGTGCACGCTTCAAGCCTTCAAAGCTTGAGAGAAAATAGGGTTGGTCGGTTTGAAAAGGTTTGAAGAAACCGACCCGACCCATATTCATTTTAAAATTGTTTCACCTGACCCGACCCGACCCAACACAAGTCGGGTCGGTTCAGTTTAGCGGGCTGCGGTTTTTATGCCCACTCCTAAGAACCAGTAAATTTTATATTTGCATAACACTATCGTATTCCCGAGTCAGATAATCATACTTGAAAAGCGTTTAAACTCTTTGGCAAAAAAAAAGTTGCATTCTAGCATACAACAGTGCAATCCATCTCAAATAAACTTGTATCTGCAATAAGCTATTCAATATAAAGCAGCAGTGGATCAACAACAATTTGATTTTATTTGTACCAAACACTAGCATATGCACCAGTCAGGTAACAGGAATATACACAAAATTCATCGACAAAGGTCAACTGTTTCTACGCATATACAACTCAATGAAGTAGCTATTGTTTTCAGGATCACGGCATTTACATCACAATTACAGCAAGGTTACGAGTTATACATGTCAATGTCGTTAGTTGTTTAACGGAAGCCTTCCATCTCAGCAACAAGGAGCCTAAATTTAGTCATTGGCACGATAGAAGTGCAGCAGTTTGAGTGGAACTACATTCTCCTGGAAATAAGCAAGTGAATGAAAATTAGAAACATCCATGAAGGTTTTTCACCCTCATAAAACATCTGATATATTAATTTCCCAAAAACAGAACAGACAAAAAGAAAACTCATAATCATCATAACTATCTTCTTTGAAATAAAGTTGATCTATAGTTAGGTTAGCTTTACCTGACACATATCCTCAGACTGAGGAAAATGAAAGCCCATTGAGCAATTCTGCAACACCTCGGGATGCTTCATCCATGCTTTATGGGCGTCACTTAGTTGGATCTTGTACATAAACATCTGAAATGAAAGAGGAGTCTTTAGCATAAAAATGAAACCAAATCCCTTAGAACTAAGAAGACTAACTCCTTTGTGCCAGGTGCACAGCTCCAAACCTTCTCTCTCCAACTTTTCAGAAAACAAAGATAAAATTACAAGATCATAAAAAGGATATTGAGAAGAGGAAAAAAATCCATTCAAAACCACCACTGGAAACACCACTTCCCACCCGACTGACTCATACAAATGAATCATGTGCCGGGAACCAGATTTGAACTGGTGACACAAGGATTTTCAGTCCTCTGCTCAGCACTGAAGTGAAGGTTTGGATGAGAAATCAAACAGCAGCCAAAATTACAGACCTCAGAGAGGGGTACAGTTGGTTTCTCCAGCTTCTCACCATTGATGTTTATTCCAGTGCCCTGGCATTCTGGGCAGAACACACAGTATATTTGCTTGCTTGTGGCTTTTGTCTCATCTTTCTTCTCTGTTTCACCATCCTTGGCTCTAACCTTTCTCCGGGATTTTCGTTTCGCTTTAGGTGCAACTGACTGATTTACATAAATTTCATTCTCACACAGAAGTATCCAGTGAATGAGGCAGGAAATATGGAATATGTGAAAAGCCTACATAAACACAATTATAAGAGCTTATATACACAATTATAAAAGCATATATACATGAATGCAAAGGAGAAAGATATTTTAGAATATTCATACTGAAACACTACATAATTTCTGCAGTAAGTTCTAGGGAGTTATACCCCAGTCAAATTTCTACTGCTGCAGACAAGTCTTCCAGTTTTCCTGTTCAAGAGTGCAGCCACATCTTTACTCGGCAGCATCTTCTGCTGGCAGATATCGCATAACCTCTCAGAAGCAACGGTATGCTGTCTCCTCAATGCTTTCCTAATGGATTTGCTTACGATAATTCTTGATTCAACCAGCTGATCATCATTCCCAGCTAACACTAATTTTGAGTTTGGATTATTTGAAGATTGAGACTCTTCTCCAGAAGAGTCAATTTGGTTACTTAGAGTCTCACTGATGTCCTCAGGATCAGAAAATGATTTCTGCTTCTTGCTCCTAAAACTGCCAATGTCCTCACCTTCTGAAGTAAGACTAGAGAGAAGCAAATATCTAATGTCACCAAGTAAAGCCTTTCGACCTAAATTGTAATTATAAGCAAAGGCAACAACAGCGAAGTCATGCTCTGGAACCATGTAAGTATCCTCTTTGGCAGAATCCTTGTTCACCAGCCATTCACACCATATTCTACGAATTTCATTAGAAACCCCATCCTTCTCACTAATCCTAGCAGGAATTCGTCCAACACCTATCTGCCTCACAACCAAATTAGACACCTCTTCTTTCTGCAGCACGCCTGGGATAACCAGATCAGAACCATTTCCATTCAGATGCTGATCATGGGAGCTGTCATTACAACCCATATCATCCTCAACAACTTGTGAAATATCATTAGGTACCAAGTTATCATCACAACTAACAAGGTTATCCTCATCTACATGATGGGTGTCTAACAACTTAAGTCTCTTGGAAGTTGAAGCAGGTAAACTCTTATCTTGATCTGATGAATCACCGTGGAAGAAAAACACACCATCATTGAACGGCCAAGGATTTGGTTTTAACAATGTAGCTTTTGCAGCAGCAAGCCTTTCAGAGTGTAGATTACCTTTCAAGTGATCAAACAATATTGAATCGCTATAGCACGGTGCAAGACACAAAGTACAGAAGAATATCAACTTCTTTCCATCTTCCCTGAGCTCAACATACATGTGCCCCTTTGATCTCACATTCCTCAGAGTCGTCCTCACCAACTGTTCTTTCAAACTACCAGTATTCATTTTGGGAAACCCTAATTCCCTCCTTCCAGCCATTCAAATCTATAACAATTTCTCAGAGTCTGGACCTATGACAATCAAATGAAAACCTAGGAGCTATAACTTCCACAAAATAGTCTTACTTTATTTGAAGTGAGAGCAAGAATAACAGCATAAACCACGAAATTCTAATTTTATTAGATGAAATTGCAAAACTGATTACAACCATATGAAACCGTCCACATATCTCAATCTCCACAAATACGCTCAAATTCACATTTCAAGCTTCATTTAAAACTACTCTCATATGCTATAACTTTTTTCACGAAATTCAGTAAGATGATAAGGAATTTCACACTTCGGATTCAACTAACGAACAGAAAATCCCCGAATCCCTCGCTGAACTCTAAGTACAAACTCCATTCACCACAAGTTTAACCGTGTTGCACTCGAAGAATAGGAAATGCTCCAGAAGCCTAGACTTCCGTATTCAATTGCACAAGTTCCAGCTCCAATAATCAAATAAAGAAAAAGAAACAGAAAAATAAAGAAAATCCTAACAGAACGTTCAGAAAACCCTAAACTTGCAACATTGCGGCGTTGTAGGTATTATAAATGTCTTCACAAACCTTCGAGCTATTCGATTCCCAGAGAAGATTCCTCCACCAAATGAATAGAAGTAAACGATAACAGAGCTTGAATCCTCCATTGACAACTTCTCCATTTGCGTCAAATCTTCGAAGGAGAAAAATCCGAGAGGAAAAAGAGGGAACGAAATTGAAAAATCAATCCGCAAGATCAAAATGAGAAGTACATACACAATTCTTTTGTATCATATACGAGTATGTATAGAGAGAGAAACCGTAGAGAGAGAGATAGAGAGAGAGACGAGATGGAACAGAAACGAATCTTCTAACAGAAAATATGGTGGGTGCAACTACTCTAGAGAGAGAAAGTCTATGGGTACAGGAAATAATTAGGGGAAAGCTACAGGAATTCAAAATTGATGATGTGGCAGGCAAAAAGACAATTCTTGTGGTACATCACAAGTTATATCAGGGTGTCCATAATTGACACTCGGCGCTCTCTCATTGGTTGGGGTGTCGGTCCCACAAGCCCCCTACCAATAGGGGGCGCCGAGTGTCCATTATAGACACCCTTATGTATCTTGTGATGTACCACAAGAATAATTCTAGGCAAAATGATTGAAATTTTGTAAACAATAAAATAAAATTTTAAAGGTACCAAAACCGGGTTGCTATTTGGGAGACCAAAATCGGGTCTGTTACAAAAATCCCTTAATTGTTGAAAATTAAACTCTCTCTCACACACACTGAGTAAGGAACAGGAGAAAAAGAGATCAAGAAAGGGAAAGTTTAATCAGATTGGGTTCTTTTCTTTTAATCAGATTATTTTACGGTCTGAATGTTAATCTTGATTTATAACTTCTGTAAACCCTTTGATGTGTATTTTCTTGATGAACCCAAGATTGTTTTGAATTTTTCTTCATGTATTTTTTTAGTCTTGTTAAATTCATTCAAGAGATTATTATATATTCTGAATTAATTTTGATTTGAAACTTTCCTGAACCCCTTTTATGTGTATTTTAGTGATGAACCCGTTTGGAAGTTATCGTCACGTATTTCTTTAGTTCAATTCTTGGCTTCTGTTGAATTAATTCAGTCTCTTAATCAGAATTTAATCTTGAGTTGAAACTTTCTTGAACATGTTTATGTGTATTTTCTCGATGAACCTGTAATTGTTTCGAATTTCTCTTCATGAATTTCTTCAGTTCCATTTGGGTTTTCTCTTCAATTGATTCAGAGATTAGTCTTTAATCTGAATATCAAGCAAGCGGAAATGGATCTTAAATCCGAGAGAGACATAGAGGAAGGCCAACTCAGCCACACAGATGAAGAAAATCTCTCTCAATTCTTCGATTGAAGCGATTAAGGAGAATATGAAAGAGATAACCAATCTCTTTATTGATCTTCAAAGTTTGAACGAAGAAACGAAACAACTCACAGTACCAAAATTCTTCGCGATTTAAGGGATCGTATGGATTCAGACAGTGTTTATGTCCTTCACAAATGCGGTTTTGATGTATAGGCTTTCTTCTCTAAGCTGGATATTGGCCGGAGGTGGAGGAATGGGACAGAGAAAGCTTGGATCCAGGAGAGCTATTTGGGAGGAAAGAGGAAGATGTGAAATCACGTTATTTCCAAGGCTTTTTTCATTTTTAGGCCAGCCTCCGGTTTTAGACTCCCAAATAGCAACCAGGTTTTGGTACCTTAAAATTTTATTTTATTGTTTACAAAATTTCAACCATTTTGCCTGTCACATCATCCATTTTGAATTCCTGTTGCTTTTCTGTAATTATTTCCCGTTCCCATAGACTTTCTAAATAAAAGATTGAGAGAAAGGTTATTAACCGTTGATTAAGTAACACGAGTTTTAAATGAGATCTTACGGTTCACAGTGCGGGAGCATGCACTGGTAATAGTGGGATGAGGAGTAGTTGATTCCTAGAGATTCGAATTTTGTATGCATATATACCAATAAGGATGATGATAGAATGATTTAAACAAGAGGTTAAATGAATGATCAGTTGTTAATGGAATAGAGATGACCACTGGCTGGTTGGCGCCTCTCCTTCCCTCTGGATTTATTGTGACTCTCACTACAACAAGCAACTAATTATCTAACTGATGAGCAAATAATTAATCCATGTTTAATAGCCTTTAATTTATTTTAATTTAATTTATTCTTTCATACTCATTTGCAACCATATGTTAACATAGTAAAATATTTTACACATAAACCCAAAATATTTTCCTATTTTTTAATCATACATTCTCCAAAAATACTATTCAAAACATAATTTTTTAAGTTTAAAGGCCGCCAATAGAGGCTTAATAATACAATGTGTATACAAAATTAATCAAGAAATACAAAAATTACTAAACTACCTATTTTTGAATAATAATGATAAAAAGATATGGTTCATCTTCATCCAATACGTGGAAAGAATTAGTCTAGCTTATTGATGTATTATTCACACAAAAAGTATTTAAAAAAATGACCCGAATGTAAACATAATAAAATAAAGTGATTTTTTCTTCTTGAATCTTCAACCCGGGATTTGGATCTTCAATTTCTTGCTTTAATTGCCCATGATTCCATGTGCTAGACCTCGTCTTAATGATATAATATGGTGTCTCCCTATTCTATAGGTGCAAAAATTTGATTCCGGAAATAGTTTTAATTAAAAAAGGCAACAAAAATCGTTAGACCCGCCTGCTATTTGATGATACCCATGCTGTTTGAACGTTGTGGCTTTCTTAGTAAAATTTAAACAAGCCGGCTTGTATCTCCTCTTACGCGTTGCCTAAATTTTAGAGACTGAGCATATGTCAGTATTATTATCATAACTTTCTCTTTCGATATTCGATTGAGGTAATTCAAAGTTTATTAGAAATCTAAACTCAAAGGGCTACAATTCTTCTAGTATAGCATATCTCCAATTCGAATGTTTACTATCCAAAAAATGGATCTTAATCTGAGGTTGAAAATCTAGAGCGCAACTTGTTCGGTTAGAAATTGATTTTGTTTTAATTTTTCACTCATTTGACTCCTAAATGCATTCAATTAATCATAGATGATCTTTAATCATTGTTTTATGGTCCGTATCAACTATTGAATTTGCATACCTTTCTTCTCTTCAAACAAGAGTATTTATAGATTCTCTTGGGGGCTGCAAGTTATTCAGGAATATGATAGGTGGCAACCTCTTAGTGGTGGATTAGTAAATGATTCTGTTATGTACCTTGTGTCATCCGTTAGTTTAGAAGTCAGGTTTTCAGCTTTACCAACATAGGTTGAAAGATGGTTTTTGCCGCCATAAAGGTGATAGTTCGATTTCTCTCTTATGATCATTTTTAGTGCCTTCACGTGCTTTAGACTTTATCTAAGAGGTGGTTGAGTTCGCAGTTGTTTCGTTCGAGTTATCGCTAACTATTAAAAGAAAGGTTCAGACGATTGTGTAAGGAACAAATCTCTTGAGACAAAGTCCCAAAAATGGGTGCTTTATTTATGAAGATTACAATTGGGAAGAAACAAAATGCCTCCAAGGGGGATAAGCACACAAAGTAAATTGAAAATTTGCACTTAGAAAATAAATGAATTGAAATTACATATTCTCTGTTGAGAGTGATTGATTCGGGGTCCTTTCCTTCAATTTCTTCTTTTCCTTTTTATACTCCTTTGATGGTTTTCTCTGTAGAACTGCTTGGAAGCCGCTTGGTACTCTATAACTACCCACTTTTTTCGTGATGACTGACTTGTCAAGGAACTGCTGTTCGCAACTATTGTTACTACTCTTGTTGTTTAACCGCGAGATTCTTGGATCGAGGGGTGTGATAAGGTTGCTCAATAACCGCTTTAATAACCGTCGTTTTAAGTAATCACAAGACACCACATTCGCTTAAATCTTGAGCGACTCAAAGGTTTGGGCGAGAATGTGATCATCGCTCTGGGCGACAGTAAGGCGCCTCATTCGCTCAGATCCTGGACATCCTGCAGGCTTGAGCGATGATAGTACTTTGTTTATGGGCCTCTGCTATATTCTACAATGGTCTCATTTGGGCCTATATCTTGAACTCCCTAACTGGGCTCCAATTCTTGGACCATTTAATTGGGCTTCATTTTTTATATGTCAACAATTACCCCCCAATATGGCAAAACTAATATCAATAATTAATTTTTGCCATATTCTTCCTTTGCATTTTCCAACAATACTTGAAATCCCCCAAAAGGGCAGAGAATTTCAATTATTATTTCCGTTTGGCGGTAACCCTTCTACAATCTGAAAAGTGTAACGTTACACCCCTATAACCCAAAAGACACGCCACTTCGTTGCGCCACTACATTCACGTCTTTACATCGTGCTTCTCTATAAAGGCCACTGTTCATCATCTTGCTTCTTTACTACATTTCTCAAGAACTCTCCACAACTACCGTATTTCGTTGCAAATGGCTACTTCACAAACTCCTTCCGA